AAGTAAAACAAACAACTTCGGCCACGCTTGCAGAATTCAACATCCTGCTGCATTGCTGAACAGATAAAACTACCACATGAACTTAATTTCTGACATAATATTTCGTTAATCTACCTTGTAAGCCCAACCATGTTTGTCCAAGAATGCCTGAACCGCTTCCTTAATGGCCAAGTTTGGCACTAACTGTGATTGATCAAGTGGTTCCCGTGTGATTGGGTCGAATTTACCCACCTGTATAAGAAAGTTGAAGGATTGCACATGGGGTTCATTGAAATGGAAAACATTCTATAAGAAGAAACAAGAAAATCAGGTTACCTTCTGAAGGTGTTCAAGAATCACTGCTCTCTCATATGTAAGCCCACTTGGAGTGATTACAGGATCATGAAAAATGTCGAGTGTGATTCTGCAACATAAGTAATCTGGCACCTATAGACTCAACAAGCCATTCTGTGTGATTAATAAAATGGCAATTTCCAGGGCACCACAAAGGAACATTTGATGAAGATTAAGAAAACAGAAGGCATGTACACACCTCAGTAGGTGTATCGGCTTCTGCAGCTATATTGAAGACTACTTCTAAAGCCTCTAATTGTTCCGAATGGGAAGTAGTAGGATCATCTACAAATCCTTCCGCTTCGGAGAATTCCAGAAAATGTTTTTCCTTCAGAGCAGACTCGCAAGCTTCTCTGAGACATTTAACACATTTTCTTACAGCACTGGACATGGACACTAAGTAATAATAACTACACTAAATAAATCATACCGGCAAACTGAATCAAATTTTTCATGAGGTAATAACAAATATGTTAAGAGACAATAGAACTTCAAACACTGCTAAAAGACCCCCAGATAATAGGTCTGACAATCACCAGAAAAACATACTTCAAGCTCTGCAATTCCCATGATCGTTTCGAAGATGATCGCTCCCACTCATGGTATTTTGCCTTTGCAAGCTCTTGCCATATTTCTTCTACCATATAGCCCTTGGGATTGGCACCTCTCCCGAGATCCAAAGCCTTAATTATGATCACAAACAATAACAGAATCATCAGGCAATTGAAATGAAAAACAAAACGGGTAAAATGACTGTTTGTATCTCAGAAAAGCACAGTATAGAGTAGATTTTCAGGAAAGTTATATTAATTAGCTGTGATATCAAACTTATAAGATAGAAGCACCATGTTCATCAACAGCTCTGTAGGTAAGCTGAAATTTAGACAATCTGACTTATTAATCATTTTCAATACAGCGAAAATCCCAGTGAGGTAAATTAGTATCTATTTTTCTTTTGCTTCCCTCCCTCCCTCCCTTTATCTATCTATACAGACATGGTTATAGAAATCTGATGCAGCAACAACAATGTTGTTTTGGAGGTTGTGTCGTTGAAATTGTGTAGTAATTACAAATAGATACAACCAGTTTTTCCTATGTCATTGTTTTGTTATTAATTGTATATCTGCATATTTATTAATTGTATTTTGCATGTGTATATGTCTTATATACTTAAGTATAAGTTACATTTCTTATTGTTTATGAATCTTACTAGAGCAAATAATTCATCCCTATTCAAAATATAAGTTCTCTTATACATAATTTGTCACTATTCAAAATATAAGTTCTCTTGTACATAATTCATATCTCGATTCAACTACCATGAATAAAATTATTAATAACAAATAAAATTATCATCATACTTTTCACCTGTTTTCACTCTCTTTCACTCAATCCGAACAGCCTCATTTTCCTTCTTCTTTCCTTTCATTTCTTTCATCTTCCACTCCCTCATTTTCCATCATTTAATCCAAACAAAGCTTAAAGCTAGATTGATGGCTAAAGGATAAGCTTGGTATGGTGATACTTCTCATATAGTAAAAATGACTATTGTCCAACTCTTCTTTGCCATGACAGTTATTCATCATTGGTCACTTCATCTATTGGATATTAAAACAAAAATCTTCATGGTGATCCGGAGAAGGAAATTTACATGCAGCAACTTTCTAGGGTTTTAGCTCAAGGAGAGTTTGGGTTGGTTTGTAAATTGTGTTGGTCTCTATCATTTGAATCTTTACTATCATACTCTCCTGGAAAATGTCTTTTATCTATTTGTTTATGTTCATGACAGTCATTACAAGGAATAATACCACTAAAATCTCTCAAATAAAGAAGCATTCATGCAATCACTTCTCTCAAATAAAGAAGCATTCATGCAATCACTTCGATTTAGGCAGTAGATCAAGTTTCTTGCTCCTTTCTTCGATTTAGGCTTTTGTAAAACTATGTCCATAAAAACCAAGCCCTAAAACCAACTTTTCTACAACCCCCACACTAATAATAGAGGAAAACACCTTGGCTAACTTGACATTAGTGCATCTTCAACCTCTAGCACAAAATTTGTGTCCTCTCTCACCTGAGCCTCAAGAGTTGCATGAACCACTGAACCAGAGGTCTTCTCCACCAGGCTTGCAGTTCTCCGACTCTGTTTGGTTCCTCTGCTTTTGCTGCTCTGTTCATGTGGTTCATTGGTTCTCTTTATATGGACAAAATGAGGATTTCTTACAGGATTATGATTTTAATTGCGATGATCTACTTTAGTGGTCTAGTCTTACAGTATTTTAAGTTGCTTTGTTTGTTTGTCATCTATGACTTGTGTGTGAGTTTTGTATGGGGCCTAGCCATTGACTTCCATATACTTATTCATCTATGATTATAAATTTAAGCTTAATTTAACACTTGGTGTATTATAAGCCTTTTTCTCTTTCTTATGTTATGCTATATGCATATATATGAATTTTATATATCTTGTTGAATCTTACACTTCATATTACGATTCCACAATTTTGTATCTCCTTTGAGTCATAATAGATCTCGAGTTGAACTACCTTGACAAGCAATTAAAAACTAAATGATTTCTTGCAGCAGATATACTATAACAAATTAACAAATGTGAAAGAAACACACAGAAAAAGTGTTTAATGTAAACAAACCTTCTCCAATTCTTTAATTCCCTTGGCAGATTCTTGTCTCCGTAGTAATGCTAGCCCCAACATATAGTGGGCCTGAAATTTTAACAAAAAGAATTCAGGGAGAAACAAGACAATCAACAAACACTGATTAACAATGAAGAAAATAAATGATCAACAGGCAACAAATAACAGATATATAATATAGCCGCCAACAGCTTCCACCAACAAAATGGTTTTACAGAATAGCATACAACTCTAATGCAAACCATTACAAAGTAAATATCCCAGGATGAAAATTAATATCCCAGAAGTGCATACTTCTTCCCAAGTTAATCCAAATGGTAGACACACACATGCACATACACTCATATACATGCACATTCCATTCTACCAAAAACATTAGTTCCAGGTTCTGATATGATAGGAACCCGGAAATAGTTAGGCCCAAACCCAAAATATCTAAGGTGTATGTTAGACAAAGAAGGAATCGCAAAGTAGGGGATCAAAATGGTAAGAGAGAGAATGAGAAGAATCCTTCCATGTAACAAACTGCTGAGCTGGCACAATAGGAAAAGAGTGATTCCATTGTATGGGTATAATGCGTGGAAAGATAGTGGGAGAGGAGGAGGGCTGGAATTGGCTGGGAATTAGGAGAGACTAGACACTCTGTAACTGTCTAGTGATACCTTTTACTTGCTTTACAGATCTGTAGTCTCTTCCCTGGGATATGCAATCTGTTTTCTTTACTGATAAAATGAATATTCAGCTATAGTGTGCTTCCTTATTTCTGGTATCTGTCATGATATAAGATGGGTACTGTTGAATACTAGCTAGCCGATTTCTCCAGCCAAAAATGACAGTTCCCAAATGTCTTTAGAGTAGAACTTTGAAGGAAATGCTCCTGCCCTTCCTCTGGCAAAGTTGCTCATCCTTTTTTGGTTCCTAGTCCTCTATCTGTTGTAAATGCTCAACCTCTTTTCTATCTTCGTGCAGTGTTCAAATTTTTTCTTGCTTTTTAACTTCATTGGCTATCTTCTCTGTCCTCCTCAAACATGAGCTCACAATATCATCCAAAAAATAAATAAATTTTAGTGTTTTTGGTGTTATTGCCTATTGTGATTATTGATCATGGGTGTCTTCCATTTTGAGATTTTTTTTTATTTATTTTTCAGCCTTTATATTTGGTTAAGATAACCGATTTTATTAGTACCATACAGCATTCACCATAGCAGCCATCCTGCTACAGCAATTTTAGTGTTGGCCATACCACACCACTATTCAGGATTGAAAACTATAATTTATTTTGAAATGTAACCAAGAAAACTAATTTATTTCTATTTCTACATCTAGGCTGAAGATTTATTCCCATAAATCGCTGGTTCTCATTCCTTAAAATAGTCAGATTTGATTTTATGTGCATACTGTATCTATCCACTCCTATTTTCTTAATTAGATGAGATACAAATACGTTATACACTCTCGGAAAATACAGGTTAAGAATACAATTCAGATGTATTCCTTTCTTCCAAATCTTTCTTTAAACATGGTATCAAAGTAAAACCATCAACCGTGACTTTCCCCATAGCTCCCTAAGATGTGGAGTTTTACTTTAATTTCCTTTTCTCCTGTTGTACAATGATGGTCTTATTTTGTTTGTTAACAAACAATTGCTACTGTTTTTCTCTTGCTCTTTCGTTTTGACCTTGTTTGATATTTGGATTTCTCTTTCAAAAGAACCACTTATTTGGAACTTTCACTAATTTGTGCCCTTTTCTTGCTGCTTTAATTGCAGCATGCCGCACATTTAGTGTGTCCCTTTTTTGCTGCTCATTGCAGCATTTGGAAGCCCTTTTTTAACAGACTTCACTGCAGCATCTGTCACCTTCATAACAGCCACTTAGCGATAGTATGAAAAAATTGAAATAAAAGTATTTGCGTGATATGAATCTACATCCCCAGTTAGACATGCAATATGTATCAGAACACCAAAATTCTGCTATCAATGTTTACACAGAGAACTACCTCACATTTTATAAAGCCCCAATACTTTATAACTCATAAGTTAATGATACAGGTAAAATTCAATTTGGATACAAGGATTTAGGAAATTCTTACAAATACAAGATATGTTACAGCCTAAAAACATCATCATAAATTAAACAAGCATATTTTATATAAATGCACAATATTTGTACAGAGACATTGGACATTGAAATTTTTTCATTAAAACATAAATAAGTATATCAGTGGATGATGATCACAACATTTAAAACATTGGAATCATAACAAAAATCCCAAATTATATATCTTTCTCTATATAGGTGTCTACCTTTTACTATAACTGTAACGACATAGATGAAAAGGAATTCAAATCATCAAAGTGATATCCCAAATGCATGGATGATTAAAAGTTCAACAAATAAATAAAATAGAGAAGAAAATCACTATCATGTGCATATTCCCGTCAAATATGCATCTGTCACCAATCTTTGCATATTTTTAGTATCTAGGTTTCACAGCTCATATTTCAAGAATCCATGGCCATCATGAAGTATTGAAAGCTATGGATCATGAAGCGCATATACATCTATTTAAAAGAAGTCTGAACTCTATATGATTGCCTACAACTTACAATAGCTTTAAGAATAGAAATGGAAAGGCATCCAAATTAAAAAAAAAAAATTACCAAAATCATATCCCAGAATCAATCAATAAGTTTTAAAAAAGTGAAAAATAATCACAGTGCACACTGCTATCAAATATGAATCAATCTTTGCCGTTTTCTTTTAAGTATATTTATCTGCCATTAACTATATCTTTAAGGACTCAGGAGAAGGAAATCAAATTCATAGACCAGATGCACCTATCACCGGAGGTTCAAAAAATAATGGAAAATACTATCACACAAGTATTATTATCAATCTATCCAGCTATATTTGCCATCTTTTAAGTATCTAGGCTTTGTAATTCACAGTTCAATGCTCAATGACAAACAAGAAGTTTGCAAGCCATAAACTACCAAGCACAAAAACATCCATCATATCATCTATCTCAGCCAAGACATAATAAAATGTAGCCCACTCAATTCAAAAAAAAATAAAATTCCACGTTCTTTCTTAGAAAGTGGGTCTATGAAACTTAACTCAATCTATAAATCTTCGTTTAAGGTGAGGTTTTCACTCACTACTCTATTTTAGCTATACCTTTGAACAATGTTAGATCTCCAATCCAACCCCAATGCCAACATTTTAAGCTATTTGTGAGTGATTTAAGAACCACTTATATTGAGTGACGGTTCAACAAACTTCATTAGAATAGGTTTTGATACATCTTATAAAGGGGGGTTTAGGCCTAATTGTAAGATGACATTTGGTTTCACTTATATGCTCTGTTCTAGTCATATCTCTAGACTTGTAAGAATCTCCAACACACTTAAATCATCAAATGAACCTACAGTGAAACCACGTAAGCTAAATAACTAACCAATACGTGCACTATAAAAGGAACTACAGAACCACAAGGAAAATTAGTAACAAAAACCTTGACTGAATTGCTGTCCAGCTGAATTGCCTTCCGAGAATCTTCCTCTACTCTCTCCCAGTCACTACAACCAAATCAAACACATTAACAAAAACCATTCTAAAAAATCGCATTGCAGTCTCTAACTTTCCAAGAAATTACGCGCAATAAATTAAATTTAATCCACAAACAAGCGCGAAACTAAAAGTTTACACGTACTTGCGCTTGAGATGGCACAGCGCGCGATTCGTCCAATAAATCGGAACATTAGGGCACAGCGTAATCGCCTTCCAACCAAACAACAAAAAGATTAACTTTAAATAATTACTCGAATTGATGTTAACGATAACTCCAGACGAAGAAGAAGAATACGAAGAAGAAGAAGAATACCTCGGTGTAAGCATCGATGGCGGCCCCAAAACGGTCTTTCTTGAAGTAAGTGTTGCCGTTAATTCGGAGTTGCTCAGCTTGTTTCGCCGCCGCAGCGTTTGGTCCCATTTCGCCCAATTTTCTCTCTTTCTAGAAAATTCTATCGCTCGATAATGGATGTATACAAATAGTGTGTTAAATGCGTGAAAATAAAAATATATAATACGTAAAAATGTTTGTGGTTGTGTTTTTGGATTGGTGAGTTATGGAGAGAGAAGGGGAAATGATCCAGAATTTTCCAGGGATTGAAGAAGGAGGAGCGAGGGAAAAGAAACAAGAAAGAGGAAAGAGGTAACACAAAGAACAACGTGTTGAAGAAGGTGTCGCTGTTGACTCACTTGCATTTCTTTGTCAAAAGAATACTAATTGTAAGGTTTGGTCTCATTGGGCAGATGTTAGATACACAATCTTGGATTTGTTCTGCTGTCAAAATATAACAGGCTAATTTTTTTTCTTTTCTAAATTTTTTATCTAATTTAATCTTTCCATTTAAAAATAGGTCAATTTCATTTTTTAATTAAATTTTATTAAATTTATTTTCATCAAAAATTAAAAGAAAAATTTAATCCTATGTAATAATAACACTAATGTCTCAAAAACACTTTTTATTATTAATAGTTAAAATCTATCAAAGTCATAAATAAATGAAAGTGCATTTATACATTATTTAAGAAACAATTTATGTTGTGATCTCATCACAAATGTTTCTATTTGATAAATTTGTTGGGTTTTAAGATAGTTATTTGTGTTTTCAAAACACAAAAAAAGATGAATAAGTTATTAAACATGTGCAAATAAATTATAAAATTGATCAAAGAATTAGATAATTGGTCAACAAAATTGATTATTTTAATGTCGTTTTTATTTTTTTTACAAATAAAAAAAATCTAAAATATATGAAATGAGCTTCTTATTTTAGATCAATGTAATTGAAACTTTTTTTTCTTGTACTTTTATGTATGTATATCAACAAATTAATAATTTTAGGATAAATATTAGGTAGGGTATGCTAAGGATGACAATGGAGGAACACTTGTACTCGTTTTCATCTAATAAAATGATTTTATCATGTATAAACATATATTTGAAGGCTTTTTTTTCAGCCATGGAGATTTTGTATTTTTAATTTTTTTTTAATTTTAAATAAAATCATTTAAAAATAATATTTTTTAAATATAAAGTTAAATAAAATAAAGCAATTTTAAAATTTAATTTAAATAAAGTATTAATGTAAAAAATTAAATTTTTAAAAAGTACTTAAAAATTACGTCATAAATAAAGTAAAAAGTTTAAAAATTATTTTTTAAAAATTAATTTCAATTTTATAAACCTAAATAAAAATATTTTAAAAAATATGTATATATAAATTTAAATTGTAAACAATATTTTAATGATTAATATTTTCTCATCAATAATTATATTTTAATCATTTGATCTTCTTAAAATATTTAAATAAAATTTTCTAACAATACTAATGTGCACTAGGTACATGTAGATTGAATATTGTGATACTGTTTATTTTTTTAACAATTGAATAATTAAAATAGCATTTTAAAATATTTATTTAATATTCATTATAAATTTTTCTTACAATGTGTGCAGCTACATCACCATGGCAATAAAATTGATAAAGAAAAAGGCATAAAATTGTATAAGAAATTTATCTCTTGCCATGGTTTTAGTTCTAATTCATTCAAAGTCCAACTTTACCAAATCTTAATAGACTTTTTATCCAAAACTAAGAACAACGGTAAGGCTAATTGTTTTGCATTCTTGAGAATTTTAAGTGAGAAGAGAAGTAACAGAAGTCTTTAGGCTTCAAAAAATTCTTACGAAGAAGTTTTAACACACAAGATGTAGTTGTATTGCTTCTATTATTTTCACTAGTGTAGTTAGGGAAAATGACAGTATTTATTTTTGTCCATAGACAACGGTTCTTGAACCGAGACATATACAAGCGAGGCAAAAAATTTATACTTTTATGTCTCGATTGTGAACCAAGGCAAAAAGGTGAAAGATTTCGCTTCGATTCAAAGTTAACTGAAGTAGTAGAGTTTTTTTATTTTTTTTTAATTTTTTGCAAGACTTTATGCATCGGTTCCCTCTGAACCGAGACAGTATGTTCATCCTATCCAGTTAATCCATCAAGCCCTTTCATGCCAATGATGACCTGAATACAATCTTCCACTACTTAATTCTCTACCAATCAATATTGATGGAAGAGTGGCTCCGAGAAGTGACTGAAGGCACGATGCGGACCCTTGAAGCTTCTTCCAAAGAGAAAGATAGAAATACGCAATGGAAAGTAGACAAAGCTCTAAATCGAGAGTTAATCAAGAGATAACTCGAGAAAACCCTAAATAATGGACAAACCCTAAATCGAACGGTGGAAACACTAACCGGACACGAAGAAACCCTAAATTGGTGAGGAGACTCAATATAAATCGATTAATCGGTTCAAATGACTGATTGAATGGTAGAAAAGAAGGATGAACAGAGGATAAGGTTTGTTCGATGGAAAATGTGGAAAATATTGTTTCAATCGATGAAATCGAAGGAAACCTAAGAAAGAGGTGTTTTGGGCTTAGAAACTCGAAAAATAGAGAGGAAGCAAAGATCTGTAGATGAGATGGTTGAAGCTAGGGTTTGCAGCGAAATTACCTTAAGGTACGAGTTGGGGTTGAAAAGAGAAATGGAATCTCACGAGGCAATGATAGGTAGAGGATGCGAAGGAGTGTGATTCTATGAATAGAATTGTGATGCACAAATGAAGAATCCTCTCTCTGATGCGCAAGAGAGTAATTGAAAATGAAGGAGGTGGCGAGGCGTTGATGGCACATGCACAAGGAAGAAGTAGCTCTGCTGACGCATGTGCCACAGAGCTGAAGTGAAGTGGTGGTAAGTTGATGCATGGCCAACATCTTCATTCTTCCATCAAACTCCAAATCGCGTTGTCACTTTTTCCTGCATCAAACAAACCTATAGAGACAAATCCCTGGCCAAAATTTGATTTAATCAGATTCAAGTTTATTTCATTTCCCTTTTTGAATCCAATCATAAAAGAAAATACAAGACAAGGGTTTCCCACTATCTGTGGTTTCTCCCATACTATTGCCATCATCCACCGCTTCCAAGGAACTCCGTTCAATTCTTCTCTTCGCATCTTGCCACCATTGACACCATCTTCTCTACTCGTCAAACGCCTTAGATCGGCGAGCCTCCCATCATCGTCGTCGCGGTACTCGTCTTTACCATCGTGTCTCCCCTCCGCTTTCGACGCCGGCCACCATTGTCATCCTTACCGGAGCGCAAGCTGCTGCAATGGAGGAAAGAGAAGGATTCCCCGATTGAATCGGTGAAATGGAGCGAGAAAGTGTTTTGTTCGGTCAAAAACGAAGGAAAAGGTGTGAGAAGGATGAAAATGGTGTTAGTCGAAGTTTCAATCGGTGAGTTCAAAGGCAGGATGCATTCAACCGATAGGAATGAAAGAAATCAATGGTTTAAACGGCCAAAAATGGAGAAAATTGGGTAAGTGATGATGAACCCTAGCAAAGGCCGAAGATAGGGTTTCAGGAGAGGCTATGCTGTGAGAATGGAAATGTCTCGTGAAGGCACTGGAAGCAATGAAGTAATACATA